TTGATAAAAACAACGTAGTTGTTGCAGTCTCTCACCTACTCGATGTAGGAAGGCGTCATATATTTTTCAACTTTGTTGTTTTCACTTTCATAAGCAAATATTTATCGCCAGTCGTTAACCTACAGTCAAGCTGACAACATCTACCTGACAGAGATATGTGATTTTTTATTTTATCGTTTCGTTCTTAGAACGGACTGTTTTTGAGATTCGCCTGAAGACGTAGGGGCAGTTCTGTGTCGGGTTGGTACACGAAGTGGGAGCAGTAACCTCCTCGTGTAGTTCACGTTTTATACAGCCCGTTCTTATCAGCAGTCAAAGCTAAAGTGAGCTGCCGGGATGCTCTATATAATAAGATGGATATGCGTTACACGATGCGCAAACACCTCTGATATTCGGAAGGTTGCCTTGCTGTATTGTTCACTGTATGCTGAGTGGAAGGAGTCCGTGTAATATCATGAATACACAGATGCCGATGCTCGTAGACTTATGTTTATGTGTTGAATATGTGTATGTACTTGGGACTATGTATACTGCATGGTGTGATAGAATAAAGCTGGAAACGATGTGATAGAAAAAAATACATAATTCATTTTTTGATGGCAGGAAGTGCTGCAATAAGAGCCCTAACCTAACCTTTAATGATTCCGTTGAACGTTCGCACAATGGGTCGCATCTATCCAATTTTCAATAGTCCAATATAATTGAACATCTTTCAGGGAAAGATTTCAAATATGTTGTTCAAATCAACACATGGATTAAAAATTCTTTTTAACCTTTTTTTAAGATTAGATGTTGAAACCTAGATGCATAGGTATTTAGCTTTGCTGTCACCAACAAATTAATCCACTAATAATGAATCAATGCCTACTGATATCTTGCCTACCTTTTTCTATATACAAATTCTAGAAATATATATGGAAACTTCAGGCGACTTTTGATATTTTTAGCCATCATCTACTACTTCTACATGCATAAACATATTTTATAAATATGACATGCTATAAATAATGTCAGACACCATTTTGGTCTGTGTTTTAACATTACATTTTAACACCCAACAATGTAGCCCCAAAGGGGCGAATATTAGCATTCATTTAGGCCATAACAAAAACCCAGCTTAAAACTTAATTTCTACATGTGAGTCAGAGATTTTATAGAATACACCATCAAATTAAATTGTTAATTAACTTTCAAAGAGTGGAAAAGTATTTGCTATTGATATAGCCACATGTCTTTAGGATGGTTTCTTCATTGTGTGGCATAGCAAACGTCTTCCACCTTATTATGATACATTGGTACATATCATTGAATATAATGTGACATATTTCTAAGATATATTAGTTGTTATACATAGCGTTTGCCTTCTATATTGACTTTCTGGTTGTTTCATTTTTGCTGGCTTTTTGTTTAAAGGAATTATATGATTGGAGGATTGTTTTCAATAACTGGATGTTAGTGCACTGTTAGTGCATCTAGCTAAAAAATGGAGTCAGAAAAATTCCACACACTATATTCATGCTTCTCAATGTTTCATTAATTCAGCACATAAGTAACAATATTTTCAAACATTGCGGAATTCAGGAAGAATCATTTGCCCCATTGTGACTTTGAATTATTATAAAGAAATGGCATCAAGTAAGTTGACTCTATGTTTCCCACGCAAGGCTGTCATCAGTTCGTAAAAGATTATGTTCGACAAAAGTTTCAAAGAAGAAAGTTAGCTACGAACAACAAAAAATTTGGTGCAGAAATTATAGCCTGGAATAGCACATAAGCTACTTTTTAGCCCGGGAAGTAATTTTGAAATATATATTTCACGAGCTGCAGTCAAAGCGGCTTAATGGAATTTGACATAAGGTGTGTGATCCGCCCGAAATAGGAAGTATATATAAATTGGATTGGATTGCATTTATTGCATTTTCACATTGATTTTCTTAGAGTGATTATCATGATATAGATTTGTTTGGACTTCCATCTCCGCACTCAACCTGTGACCGTCAAGCGATACGGACGTTTCATTTGTCAGCAGCTGTTACCCGCGATTTCGTATGCCTGAAACTCTTACTGACATAAAACGCTGTTTTCAAGTAATGCTATGAATATCACGTTTACATCTTTGATGTTAATTGACACCAAACTTGCATGCTTAGGAAATTTGATTACTCAATTAGTGGCGCCACCTACACGTTCCCCGGGTAAAACTGCGGAGCAAAAGCTGGTAGGAAATAAAAGCTTCATCACCTGCTAGAGATGCCATCATATCTTGCTACTAGGTACGTCATTATCTAGCTCGCGTCGCATCTATTATGCATGAGAGTTTTTGTATGAGGGGCGTGCAGCGATAGCATTTATCACACAACTTGTCATCAAAACACTTCCACGAGTGGTTGAAAAACTTCAATATTCTGAACCATTCATATTGTTTACTGTTTCTAACATTTTTATACGTATTGAAAAATGAACATAAGCTAAACACATTTCTTGAGAATAATGACCCTTCTGGTGAATATACTCAATTAGTAGTTCGTTTTCAGTCGTCAGCATAATGCAAAACAATGAAAATAAATTGGTTGTATTTCGTATGTTTGGTTAATGTAACATCTGAAACATATCTTGTAATTTTCATGTCGATGGTTCCCCATATTTCTCTGAACAATCGGAACCACATGTGTTGAAAACCATCCACTTTATTGTACACGTTTCGGTCAAAACGGTGACCTTCTTCAGTACAATGACTTTGACAGTATATTTTATTTCTATGTCTTCCAGGTGACACTTCGTTTGTATTTCCTTTTTGTTTTCACCCAGAACAGTTGTCGTAATACATTAAGTCAATTTTATGCAATCTTTGACCGACAGTACTAATGATGTACGAACATGGAAAGAAAGCAAGTCAAGGATCTAGTATCAGTGCTGTCAGAAATATTCAAAATTTGAAGCTTTTCCAGTCTTTGTAATCAAGTTTCTTAGCGATTTGTGATACGTATTTACTTAGCACGATGTCTGTATCCGTTTCATCCAGGGGTTCCAGGCAAAATCGATAATTTTTACGTTTTTATTGTTACGTTCGTACTAAGTAGCTAAAGTCAACAAAAAAAATATTGTTCATATGTTGAAGCTAGATAAATTAATTCCGATACTTTCCTCGATTCTATGCTCACTAAAATGCCCATAGTAATAGCATAATGCGTTCACTTTACCCGAGTTTATTTAATACCGTAGGTAACCCGACACAGTTGATTTATATGCTCCTAAAAAAGTACCTAAATGAATCACTCATTATACGAGGGGGGATGTCTTTTAAGTTTTGCATATAGAAACATAGTAGGCCGCGCGGATCGAACGTCTGTACTGAATCTTAACCTCACTATTTAGTAAACTTAAATTCAAAGTTTCACAGCAATACGTGCAGTGTTCCCACTACAGTGAATTTTTAAGTGTCACCAAATCATTAGAAAAATGGAACTCAACCGAGAACATTTTCGCGCCATAATTTATTAGAACTTTCAGAGACAGTTATCGCAACAAGAATGCCTTGCTGAGTTACTGTCTGTTTTCGGCAACGAAGCGCCACATCAGTCGACATTTTTCCGTTGGTATGGAGAATTCAAACGTGGACGGGTGAGTCTTAGCGACGATCCCAGGGTGGGTGCACCAAAAACGGCAGTCACCCAGGAAAACGTCGATGCTATGCGCAAACTCATCATTGAAGATAGACATGTGACATTTTGCGAGATTGAGGCGTCCTTGAAGATCTCAAAGACCTCAATTCAAAAAATTTTACATGAAGAATTAGGAGTAAGAAAATTAGTTTCTCGTTGGATACCCCACCTGTTGACTGAAGGGCAGAAAGCAGCCAGGGTTAATTGGTGTCAAATAACGCTTGACCGTTTCAATTCCGGAAACTCAAAAAATGTGTACAGCATTGTTAGTGGTGATGAATAGTGGATTTACTGTTATGAACCAGAAAATAAACGACAGTCGGCTGTTTGGGTGTTCCAAGGTGAAGAAAGGCCAACAAAAGTCATCCGTTCTCGAAGTGTTTCGAAAAAGATGGTCGCGACATTTGTGTCAAAAGCGGGTCATATTGCAACAATTCCTCTTAATGAGCAAAGAACTGTTACTGCGGATTGGTATACCACCATTTGTTTGCCAAAAGTCATCACCGAGCTTCGAAAAATCAACCCCGACAGAAGAATCATCCTCCACCAAGACAATGCAAGCTCGCACACAGCCCAAAAAACAAGGCAGTATTTAACGGAAGAAACCGTGGAACCATCCTCCATATAGTCCCGATCTAAGTCCTAACGATTTCTTTACTTTCCCGAAAATTAAAAACAGACTGCGTGGTCAAAGGCTCCAGTCACCAGAAGAATCAGTTGACGCATTCAAAAATGCCGCTTTCGGTCTGCCAGCAAACGAGTGGTATAAGTGCTTCGAAATTTGGTTCGAGCGCATGCAGATGTGTATTAATCTTCGTGGAGAATACTTCGAAAAACAATAAAGTCATTTAAAACTACCTACCGTGTTGTTTTATTTCCATATGCAAAACTTAAAAGACATCACTCGTATAATGCTGCATGTGTTCACTTTACCCGAGTTTGTTTAATACTGGAGGTAATCCGATACAGTTTATTTGTATGCTTCTGAAAAAAAAGTACCTACATGAATGACTCATTATATGTTTCCTCCACTTTTCAAACTCCCTAATCTAGGTTTCGTGTCACCACACATTAATTTCTATAATGCTTGTATGTATAATTATAATTCTTCCTGTTGACATAGTAAAGTTCATTTCATTGTAAAGCAACATCGAACAAAGTACTAAGTATAGCAAAAGTATCCTAATGGAACCAAATAATTTATTCATGTAATTATGGTAAATGTTGTTTTTATCTCAGGAAAATAGAGCAAAATTTCCATCAACACTGTGCATGTGTACGTCAAAGAATACTCGTTATAAGAGAGAATATGCAAATGGAACCAATGAATATATCTACATATTGGTTGCTCGGTGGTTAGCGCTTCGGGCTAGCAACCCGCGGCTCACGGGTTCGAATCTCCGCCTCGGAGTTTAATTCCGCGCCCTGGATGTTGTGTTGTGTGTTGTTTATATCACGCACGTGGGTGCAGTATTAACGAAAGGTATATCCCATCGCTGAAGCTGGTTAATTCAATAATCAGTTACTAGCTGATGGCTTGTAGAGTAAGTAGTACACTGTTGGTACTGCAGGGTCGACACAAAGGGTCAAATGCGGCCTAGTTGCCAGACTTCGCCTCCCCTCCGCTACTACTACTACATATTAGGGGAAACATTCAAAAGTGAAACGATAACCTAATATCGTAATAGTCAGAATAGATAATAGTGGTTGTATTTTCTCTCTTTACTATATGTATTCCATGCTGCTTAGCTTTTGCAAATCTTAATCACCGATTCCCATCAGAAAGATACTTTGTCCTATATATGATGTTCCCTAGTATCCACGGGGTGAGGTTTTAGTGTGGAATCAGTTCATTGCTCCGTTATTATAAAATATATATGAAACAGTTATTTGTATAAATTATAGCCAAATATAACTGTTTACTTGGAAAATATGAAGTTCTCTACAGGGTAATCCATCATAACATGGCGACACATGCGTCTTTTTGAATGGTATGCGCTGTACGTTTAGTAGAGCTATAAGTGTTTAGATCACTACTTCTTGCTTAATCCTATATTAATGAGTTATACGACAGCACATAAACACCTCTAAAAAGCTACCCCATGGGTTTTGCATAAAAACTTCACAGTAGACAAACTTCATCAGGCTCCAGTAATCACGTGTAACAATGATAGCTAGTATTTTGATAACTCATTACGTTAATGTACCAACCGATTTCTGTCTCGATATCAGTGGTGTTCTAGCAGGACATCGAATCGGATGCTTCAAACTTTTGGGACCATAGGAGTTGAACGAACACCTCGAACCACCTTTTGAGGATAACTCACATCCATACAAATACTGGAATACTAAGTCATATCAGTATAAAACGTGTTGGCTATGACAGAGATCTTATTCACATATAAAGCCAACTTGGGTTTGTTGCTGTTTGAATTGGGAATAGAAATAGGAGTTGTGTCACACCACCATCTACAGCGGAACAACTAAATAGAGCAATAAGTAGGTAAACGTGTAAAGTTTGCTCTTGCTAACACGCTCCAGCCATGTAATCCTTATGACATACATTTAAATACCCCCTTAAGTAAACTGTTGACCTTATAAATTTGTATATACATATTTTACCTGTTTGATGATTGCGCGGTGCGTTGCGATTTTAATAAAGCACAAGTTAACAAAATAGAATTTTCAGAATTTTACTAGTCAATAATGGACAGCTGTTTCGTGCTATTTCGTGAGCATGGTGTAGATCTCTCTGAACAACGAACGAAAGCTGGACAACTTTACTATATTCAGAGTATAAGGTTAATCAAAATCTGTATTACCAGTTTGTTTCAACAGACGGCATACTCTTTTCATTTTCCTAGTGGTCGGTTCTGGTAATAGATCGCCTTTTGTGCTGCCTTATTTCACTAAGGATTTTCTTCAACTTTGACCAACTTGCCAAAATAAATAATGTGTACACAGAATTGAATGTTATTAAACTGGATAAGTTGTTGGAATTAGAACAAGATGAATAAGTGTGAAAAATTTTAATGCTCACCACACGTGATGAGTATGAAACAAAAAATCCAATAGAGGATAGAATAAGCTTGCTACTGATGCAATAAAGATGTTTAATAATATGCCACACAGTGTATGAAATTTTCATTTACTTAAGTATTTTGTTAAGGAAGTCACTTGAATTTACATTCTTTTAGTTATTCTCGAGGACAGTGTTCGAAACACACATTTATAGAACTTTAGAAACTATAAATTTTGCACATTTGATGGTTACGTGAAGATTGTTTTCGAAAGGTATGTATTCAGTTGTTATACTTCTTGAGTCCATATCACTAATGGCATTTACGACACAAAGACAATAAAATGTTGTTGAAGAGAGAGTTTTTGAAAAACTAGTCTTTAAGTATAGGTGTACAAGGTGGCATTCCGTTCAAAAATCGACTCAATTCAATATTAAAGATCAAACGAAATACAGAGTCGCATTTATTATGTTAGCATTTTCAATGCGAAGTATATGTGTGTCTTTGAAGGAAAGGTAACTGTATTGAGATACAATTTTTACGCTAAATCTAAACCCTCAACCACTTGCACAAATACCAACTTATAAAAACTGATGAGTGCGCAAGCATTTGGTAGCAAATAAAAGAAAATCGTACCCTAAACTGAGATACACACAGATAAGTCAAGACTAGTATTTTTTCCTCAAATTAAAACCATTTTGATATCTATGGTAGAAAACAAACTTCACTTCCAGCATTTATTTCTTCTGGTATATTTTCGTATATGAAACTTTTATCATCGACATCTGTTTCGATTTATATTTGAAAAGTTGAAGCCGTGAGCCCTGCGGCAAAGTCCGATATTACCGAATGTCCACGTTCCTCATTTTCGTCGTTCTTTTTATTTATTTGAACCTACAATAGGTTCAACCTTAAGGCCAACTAGTTTGCCGAATATCCTCTTAAAATAAATAATAGGCACAGTAACGCTCACTACTTGCTATTTGCAAACAATTAATTGGATCAAATCCAGTAAAAGGAGGGTTAAACTTCTCATACTTGTCAGTCTGTTGTAAACTTTTTTGTAACTGGTTCACGGTTTGTCATCTTAATATACGAACTTTATGGGATAGTAGCTCTATGCTGATTGAAACAGCGGAAAGCCCGGAGCCGCAAAAACTGTGAAACGCTATATAAATAAATGGCACATCAGCAGTATACAGGGTGACTTCGAAGTTGAGTGATTTATTTTAACAGTGAGTAGATCTGATCAAAAGAAATGTTTTTTCCTTTAACATTTTTCTGGTAAAATTAAAGTAACAAAGTTATAGCCCTTTATAAGTTTGAGTACCGCCCTGTCTCAATAATAATATTATGTGCTCGTGTTTGGCAACAACAGATATAATCTGCCTTATCGGTTCATCGCATCGGAGACAAAAAAGCGAAAGAATTTGAAACGCTTATCACGATGTTTTTACTACAATTTTATTCAGTTGTATTCAGTCAATGTGTCAGTCGGTAATGCGTGAGTGAATAGTGGTGTTTGTTGCGTGGCTCAAACGAAATAAAAAATGGCATATGTTTACGAAAATGCTGAAATTGTGGACATGATTCTTATTTACGGGGGGAGGGGGAGTCTTTACAAAATGCTGCCGCGGCATCACGGATTTATGCGGATCGGTTTCCCAATCGAGTGCAACCAACCCCTCGTGCCTTTGTTAATTCAGTACAAAGGGCTCGTGAATCAGGTGACTTAAGACCTCACAGGAGAGGGCATGCCGGTGCTCCAAGACCTCACGATCAAATACAGGTCCGCACTGAAATACTTGTCGGGAGGGTACTTTATAAAACAAGGTAACATTTTTTTTAATTTTTTTTTTATTTTACATACATATTTTGGTTTATCTCCCTTCTACAATCATTATCTGAAAATTAATGACTCAACTTCAAAGTCACCCTGTATATCCAGCCGCGAGTTAGCCATCGAAATAATCGTGTTCGCCGATTCATGTGATTACAACAGTCAATTTTGCGATACCGTTGGTGCATTGATAAGCAGTTCTTATTTTCTGGTGCACCACTTATCTATATAGCATTTAGCACTCATTTTGACTACTCCATTGAAAGCCATACAGTCATCCATAAATAGCACCATACATAGAGTTGCCGTACTTACTGCTGGTTTAAATAGGTGTGAAATTCTCAGGCTGCTACGAGGTATTTAACATTACAGATGTTACTATCGACGCGCTTTCGATGGAACGCGTGTTTTACATAGCGACAATTTGAATTTGGATGACGTTCATGTTATGAAGAATGCTCATCACGCAATTAGTTGCCTCTTTCAACGTGAGTTCTTTTACAACGCTTCAGCTTAACGCACGTGCGTACCAGCAGTTATTGGGGTTCTTTTCGAGTCTGGACGATGACTAAAACGATATCATATAAAAATTCCCACTGAAAATTTTTAAAAGTAAAAGGCCCTTGAAATGTGGTTAACCACCAAACCACCAAATATTTCATTCCTTTAAAAAAAAATTGAGATGAGTTTATGACATACATACAATACATTGTATTACATGTTAAATAATATTAGATATGCATATTTTCAAGCTAATTATAGCTAAGCTCAGTTTTTAAACTAGAATTCAAACTAGTTTTGTATCAGCTAGATATGTTTAGAGTGCCAATCATCATTGTATTCTCTATTCCTCATATACAGGGTGTGCAAAACACGGTGTAACTCGCTGAACTATTCTACGATTATTTTGAGATACAGCCCCCTGACGCCACTGGGGATGGGTTTCTCTTAAGAAACATTAAACCGTACTTTATGACATAACGTATGACATAAGGAGGACAATGTTAAATTGCATTCTTTGGTTCTTTTTCGGAACGAACTCAACCAAGTGAAAACTATTGTTTGTGATTAGTAGTAGTCGAAGGAACATATTGAAAAAAGGGAGGAGAAATCTAGTGCGTCATCCCTAAAGTACACTCCCTGTCTAATAATAAATTTTTTAATCAATTGTGCAAGAAAATTCTGATAGCTGGAAAATTATTAGATAATTCCAGGGTAGCTAACATTAACCGAAATCACTGAATATACGAAATATAGACAGTTTGTGAAAGATGTGTTGAAGCATTTTTCAAAGATATGTGTACCCTTATCCAAAAACTGCATCTCTGTTTATTAGTAGTAGTTGGAAACACTTATAACCGGCCCAAATTGTGCAGCAAAATCTAGTGTACATCCTATTGAATAATAGTGATAATTCTGAGTGGAAGTGCTGATACCCAAAGGCAATCTGGAAACAATTCCGTGATAACATCTACTGAAGCCATTGACTATGAAAAATATTGGATAACGGTAAGGAGTACGTGACAATGCGGGATCACATTTTTTTTTAACA